GGCTTGGAGCAGCCTGGGCTGCTGGGAGGTGTCCCTGCCCATGCAGGGGGTTGGAACTGGATGAGCTTTAAGGTCCCTTCCAGCCCAAACCAGTCTGTGAACATTCTGCTCAGCCCAGCCACTGTGGCTATGATTGGCTTAAGGGAACATTTAAATGCTGTTTAGTCGTTGTATGTTAATGTTATAAATACAAAAAAGTGGTGAATGTTTCGTAGAGAATCAAGGTTTTTGAATCCTTCCCTTCTGAGAAGAAGGTGGTGCTGGGTGTGTATCAGCTAGCAGCTGGATCATGAGATGGCAGTGCTACAGATGCAGGGAAGGGTCAGAGGACATGGGCATGTATTGGGAGAGATTTCCAAAAGGGATGGAGGACATCTGGGAGATCTCCCGTAGGGCTCGGCTGAGCTGTCTTTTGGAAGATTGCTGTGCTCTGGTGTTCAGGAAGGGTGGATTTCAGCTGGGACATGTGTGTGTTGCTGAGAGATGCGTCAGGTGGAGCGTTCATCTTGTTTGAGGAGGCTGAAAGAGCTCTGGAGTGTTTTGCTTGGCAGAGAGGGCCTGACTGAAAGCTGAAGAGCTGCTTCTTGCCTGCACCATCATATGCATTTCTCTTCAAATCTGAAGATAATATGTGAATCAACTCACTTTCATGTTACTAGTTCCAGTAGCATGGTGCCATGGAGAGGAGCCCCTTCCTTGAACTCCTTCAAGATATTTAGAGACCCCTTATGTTTCACTGGCTCATTTTTTCAGTCAGAGTGGATTCTTGTAGTCTGGTCTTGTTGACACCCTGGATCCATGGTGTGTTTCCCTCCTCTGGGGCAGAAGGTGGTGTCTGCAAGGCCTGCATGTGTGCTTGGGCTTAGAAAACACTTCCCATTTGTAGAGTGGGAATGCAGCCCTGCGGTGAGAAGGTCTCAGCTGTTAAGCTGAACGTGGCCCTGTCGAACAGAAGTGAAACCAGGAAGTGAGGGAAACATTTTTAACTGAAACTGCAGCTCGGGATCCGTGCGACGTGGCTGGTGGTGCTTTGGCCCAACAGTTGCCCTCCTGCCCGCGTGCACCGGTGGCTCCCTGTGCTGTGGGTACCTTCTGGGGCAGCACAGAACCTTTTTGGTCAAATATAAAACTTGCTGTTCTTAGAATCTCAGATGTTTCAGAAGCTTCTGCGTGGTGAAAGCCTGTTCTGCTCTGCATCTGCTCAGATCTATGGGAATGCTTTCCTGCTGGATCTGGGTATTGGAAAGAGCAGACTGGCTGGTGCCTGGGATTTGGATGGTCAAAGACCTTAGTAGGTTCCCAGCCTTACTTACATGAACTTAGGCAATCAAGAGTCTGTGTTTTCCTTTCACAATCCCTGTTCCTTGAAGCTTGGGCTGAATTTCCGTCTGCCTCTGGATATACTGGAAATCAATACTAAGGTTTACTTATAGAACACTATCCCGAGGGAAATCCTGGGCACAGCAGGCAACGTTGAGTCAGAAGCCTGAAAGGTTGGACTCCCCTGGTCAAGTAAATGTCAAATCAGACTTCATTATCCTGCAAGTTGAGCTATCTTTTAAGCTAAATTGAACTCCTAAACTGGTAGTTTAAGCAGATAAAACACTCGGTCTACTAGATCTGAAGAGTCACCTACAAGGTGACTAGATCACCTACAAGGCTGATGTTGGGAGTGGAAGAATACATGAGTGCATAGATTAGTAAAAGAGACAAAACTATATCTTTGTAGATTTCCCTGTTTTAACGTACTTTTAAAAAAATGCACTTTTACCTGTCGGTAGGATGGGTAACATTCTGAGAAGCTGTCTTAGCAGGAGCTTGAAGCACTGTGTGCTGTACCTACTGAAGTGTGTCTGTTGGTCTGAAATGTGAGCTTGCCATTCTCTTCTGCCACCCTCTTCTGAAGCAACAGTTGGACAAAATCACTTTGTTTTTATGTAAAAGGTAATGGGAAACTCCTCGGAATTCCAGAAAGCAGTGAAGTTGGTGATTGACACAGTTTCATTTGATAAAGACTCAACGGTCCAAGTTTTTGAGGCAACAATCAGGTATGTCAAAATTTCTGTCTTTAGAACAGTACCACAGTTAAAGGCTTGCTGGGCGTCTGTAGAAGAGCCAAAGAAAAATCATTGAGAAGGATGTCTTTGGTAGGCTTTGTGCCATAATTGTTCCTTGAGTAAGGTTTTTTAACCTTTTATGAAAATGTTTCATCCTTTCATAATTAAAACAATGAGTCCCATGTGCCTTGAAGCAGTGGTACAACAGGAGTCTCAGCTGTCTTTGGCTTGCAGACTGCTGCTTTTTTGTTGCTGCTCTTGCAGCACAGACTTCAGTCTGTGCACAACAAACAACCCTGCTGACAGGTTTTCCTTGTTTTGGTTTTCTTCTGGGGACCTTCTGCTTGCTTTCACTTTTATTTTAGATGAAAACCAGGCCTGTCTGTCTCAGAGATGAATTTAAGATGCTGTCTGATTTTAAATGTCTTGATTATCTGAATGTCTATTCAGATATGACTATATCAGTGACTATTCAATTGCTGCTTAACTTGGATAGGCTTTCTTTTTTCCAAATATTAACTTTATATAGCTACCTTACTGTCATTTGGAGGAGCAAAACAGTTGGGGCAAGGAGGTCTTTGCTCATAAATAGAACTGAAATGTTGTGAGGAGCTGCTGGGTTAGGTAAATTCTGCAGAACTGGATTTTGGATTACTGTGGGTGACAAGAAACAAGACTTCTAGATGCTTTCACTATTGATGGTGAATAAAGCAGATCTCTTTCTGTGGTGGCTGTAAGGTGCACGTGTTAAACATGATAATGGTAAGGGTCTAGCTGGGTTCTGATCAGATGTAAAAACAAGGTCTTTCCCTGTAGGGTTTTGGGAAGCCTGCTTTCTGCCCACATCATAATAACAGACAGCAAACAGCCTTTTGGTGATATGACCATTAAGGATTATGATAATGAGCTGTTGCACATGGCTCATGACCTGGCAGTGAGACTACTTCCAGCCTTTGAGAACACCAAAACTGGAATTCCATATCCTCGGGTAAGTGAACACACCAACATCATGGGGAAATAATCCCAAAGCAGAAATTCCCCTGTCCCACAGCTGGAGTTCTGTGCTCATTGTGGGCATTTGTACCTTCACTTGGGGTATTGAACCTGCTCTGAGGCACAATGAAATGGCCTACGTTGGGAAACTGTGCTAAGTTATGGTGACATGGACAATACATAAATTGCTCCTTATGTCTAATAAATGTTTTCTTCAGGCTGTTTTTTCACTGTGTATATTGTTCCCCATGGGTCAGGAGTCATTTGTTTTCCTGCTGTTTGGCTGGAACGTGCCCTGCCAAGCACTTTCTTCCTATACATCATGCAGCAGCAAACAGTGCTGTCAGTAAGATTAACAAGAAGCACTTTAAAGGCAAATAGCCTAGGAAAGTGTCTTTATTGGTGACTTGGTACTAAGAGAATTGGGATAAAATAAAGCTCATCTAAAATATTTGTCATACTGGTCTTGGAATTTGTAATTTTATGGAATATTGCTCAGTACTGCAGTATTCCTGAATACTGCATCTTGTTTTAAGCAGATGCAGTTCACATGGAGAAGGATGTTAGTTGTAGTGGAACAACTCTGAGCTGTAAAACTAGCTCTTGCCTGACTTAATTCTAGTTTCTAGGGACAGCAGCACTGCTTTTCCTTCAGACCTGTCAGGCTGTAGAAGCACTAACTTCCACTTCTCCTCAGAGTCCAGTAAAGCAGTTGAGGGTGGTATAACTTCCCCTTCAGCATTTTGTTCTTAGGGAAGTTGAGGAGCATTCACTGAGGAAGCTCTTGGTTTCAAGGGTACTAAATGAAGAGAAGCAGTACTTGCATCACCCTTGGAAGAGCCTGAATGTTTAGTAGAAATTATGAAAAAAAAAGGACAAATTTGGAAGGTTTAGCAAGCATAAGAGTAGCAAAATTAAGATTGCCCCCCTTGAGCATGATATTAATCAGGAATTCTTGAGGAAAGCTTTTTGAGCCAGCAGCGTTATGCTGCCATTCTGACTGTCTGCACTTTGGCTGCTACTTACTGCAAAAACTAATGAAAAGGTTTCATTATCAGTACAAGACTGCAGCTGGGAGCCCAGCTGTCCCAGGGGCAGCTGCCTTGTTGCTGTGAGCACGCTGTCTCCCTGCCTCACAGGTCAATCTGAAGAAGGGGGTTCCTCCAGACAGCCACAATGAAACCTGCACTGCAGGAGCTGGTTCCTTGCTGGTGGAATTTGGTATCCTCAGCAGGCTGCTTGGAGATTCTACCTTTGAGTGGGTGGCCAGGAGAGCTGTTAAAGCACTCTGGAGTCTCAGGAGCAACAACACTGGACTGCTAGGTAATCTCTGAGGTGATGCTGGGTTGGGTGGCTCTGTGTTTTAATCTTCCTCAGTCTCCTGTTGCTGGAGGCCATCATGCTTCGGGTTTCTTTCTTGTTCTGTAAACCTTGTATCTGCTTCTGTAGCTGTTGAGTCATTCTCTGCTTGTGTACTCATGGTTTGCCTTGATCAAATGGCAGTTTGGAATTTCATATGAAAAATGGAGTATCTGAATAACTTCTTAGGGCACAGGTTTCCAAAGACAAAATTTGTCATGGAAGCAGGAAATAAAGTTGAAGTTACTGCATTTGTATCCCTGTTAATATAATTAGTTTGGGAGATGACTAAAAGCACTTAAAAACTGCATATGTGTGCTAATTCCTTGGGTGGGTGCACTGTAACACTTTATTTGGATGGTGATCTTTGATCACTTATCCTTAAAACTTTTTGAATATGTGTTTCTAAGTTCTGGTTCTTGATTATTGTACTGGGCAACTTCAGACTAAACTTTTTATCTGTTCTGAAAGGAAATGTTGTGAATATTCAAACTGGCCACTGGGTTGGAAAGCAGAGTGGCTTGGGAGCAGGGTCGGATTCATTCTATGAGTACCTTCTGAAGTCTTACATCCTCTTTGGAGAAAAGGAAGATTTGGAGATGTTCAACAATGCTTATCGGAACATTCAGAACCACTTAAGAAGAGGGTAAGGCATTTCATCTGAGGATCAGTTCCTTAAGCACTGAGTATCCCAACAGGATAGGACAGATTGTGTAGTGTTTTGTGTCACGCCCTAGAAGAATCTGTATTTTCTATTTTTCTTTATAAGCAAAATCTTATTTCTGTGTTAGTGAACATGGAAATAAATTTTATCATTCCCTTTCACTCCTAAGTCAACTGATTTATTTAGCATTATTGGTGCAAGGTTGCTGCCCAGTTTGGTAAGTGTCAGGCTGAGACAATGCTGTAGAACTGCAAAGGAAAGGTATTAAATTGGCTGATTTAGTACTACTTAAGGTGTGATCTTACCTAGCATGACTTTTTGGTAGAGATTCTGCTGACAAAACTTGAGGCTGTGATGTACGTACCTTTATGAATTAGTTTTCTGAAAGCATGACTGACATTCTGGTGCTTTTCAAAATGGCCTTGAGCTTACCATGACAAATCTGATAAATGTGGCTCATTCTTTTTGCTGGTGGCAGTGCTGTGAAATGAAACATACACTGTGTTCTTCTCAAGCAGTGAATATTCACGCATGCTTATTGTTTCTTGGCAGCCGAGAAGCTTGCAATGAAGGTGAAGGTGACCCTCCTTTGTATGTTAATGTAAACATGTTCACAGGACAGCTGATGAACACATGGATTGACTCTTTGCAAGCCTTTTTTCCTGGACTTCAGGTAAACTTTCATTCTGTTAAAGATAAATGCCACAGCAGAGGGGTGTCAGGAAGGCTTGCTGTAATCCCAGGCTGTGAATGAACCTGAGCATCTGTTCTGAGATGAGCTTCAACCTGAGGGTTACATCTGGCCACTCTGATGAGAGGGTCTCGGGGCAGTTCAGCTCCTGCAGCAGCATCTCAGTACTGGAAGGCCTGACCTGCTTTCTGCTGTGTTGGAGATACTTTTAATTTCCCTAATTTAGTCTCAGCATTTGTGTGCCATGTTGGGAGGCTGAGCTCTGCTAAAGCTTTTAGTGCGAAGGACTGAATACATTCGCTTGGGGTTTCAGGGGGGTTTTCTCTCTCCTTATGAGGGGTGTGTTTTGTTTTATGGCATGTTATTATACACTGGGAAGCAATTTTCTGGCTTGCAGTGTTAAGTGTGCATGTTTACAGCTGTTGTTCTGCCTAGGTGTTGATAGGAGATGTGGAAGATGCTATTTGTCTCCATGCTTTTTACTATGCCATATGGAAACGATACGGAGCCCTCCCAGAAAGGTACAACTGGCAATTGCAAGCTCCAGATGTGCCCTTTTACCCACTGAGGCCAGAGCTTGTGGAGTCCACATACCTTCTTTATCAGGTACTTGTCTTTTCTCAGCTTACAGCTCATGTTTTGGCAAAAAAGGTTTTTGTTCAGAAAGTCACTTTTTCTACCTCCAGCCACTGGCACATACTTGGTCACTAGAAGGCTGTTAAAATTTGGTGCCTCTGTATTTTCTTGCTCTTTTACAAAGGTCTCTGTTTAGGCAGTAGGTTGTTATGCAATTTAGTTGCTATGTTGTTTGCTTTGAAAGTAGCCTTTTTAGTAAGAGAGGCAAAAATGAGGCACTGTCTCCAACTGGCAGAGGATACAGTAAACTACAATAACTTTCTGGCTATAAGAAACCTATCAAAGATTTTAAATTTCCTACAAGTTTTACTAGGATTTGCACAAAAGGAAATGTGATAAGCTTGCACAGAGTAATCTAAGTCATGTTCCTATGAAAATAAGTTTGCTGTAATGCACAGGAGTCCATTACTAGTAGGCGTTTGTTTTAAGTGTTGTTTTTACAAGATTTAAAAATTGCTGACTCTTAACTCTTGACTGTCTTCCTTATTTAGGCCACAAAGAACCCATTTTACCTCCATGTTGGAATGGATATTCTACAGAGTTTGGAAAAATATACAAAAGACAAGTGAGTGTTCAGTGTTCTTTGTTTTCTCTCACTGACATATACATATATTTGATTATATAAATATTATCTAGACTCCAATCTACCAAATGTAGGTGAACCAGAAAAGCCAACCCTCCACAAGTGGTGACTTATTTATTGAACAATTATTTCTTTCTCATCTGAAAATGAAATTATAGTCCAGTGACAACTTGTTTTTTAACTACCTTTTCAAACCCATGGTTGATGGTTGGTTGCTAAAAACTGGTAAAAGGACTTGTGGGGTGTTTTTTCTGTGGCTGCTGAAAGAATAATTCTGACCTCGTGGCCCCGTGGTGTTTACCAGACCTGGGGGCATGGCCTCGAAGCTGGACACTGTTGCACATCAGCTTCCTCTCTAAACAGTAACTGTGAGTCCTGTAGCTAATTCTGAGTAGCTGAATCTTTTGCAAGACTGAAAGGGAAGATAGTGAATTTTTACTTGACTCTTGGTATTTACTGCCTTTGTAGACAAGTCTGCACTGACCATAGAATGGTATAAAACAGCACCATTCCACAGGGAAGCGGGGTTTGGCTGAAAGAATGACAAGTGCTCTGTGTGACAGCTTGCAGAGTTGTCATTTGTAAGCATGGGGAGAAGCCTTTGCCTGAGGCCAGACTTCCAGGCTTGGGTTTCTCCCCTGCTCACCTGTGCAGGCTGCCTGGAGAGCACCTGGCTGCTTTGAACAACTCTTAGTGAATCTGCATGATGCAATAGCTGAGCTGATATGCCAGTGGTGACAGTCCCACCAGAATACCAGAAACCAGTAATTAGTCAGTGCTTCCTTGTACAAGAGACGTGTTTCATTTTAACTTCACTGCTGGTGACAACAGGAATGGTTTGAATTTATGGAATATGTAGGGAGCACTTTGAAATCAGAATGCCTGGGAACTAAACCCAAACTGGTCTTCAATCTTGCAGGTGTGGCTATGCTACCTTACACCATGTTGTAGAGAAGACAAAGGAAGATCGAATGGAGAGCTTTTTTCTTAGTGAAACATGTAAATATTTGTACCTGGTATGTATGTTTTTCATTTCACAAATCCTCTCCTGCATGTGCTGTGCAGAGATGTGGCACAGCAAGCAGGCAGGACATTGTCAGTTGGAAGTTGTGCTGTGCTCCAGGGAAGAGAGGGGTTTAGGTATCAGAGCGTACCAGAGTGTGCTGCTCTTCTTTCTTTAGCCCTACCCTCACCTTGGAGGTTTGGGCAGCTGCTGGCTGGGGAGATGGCAGCTCTTTGTGGGGTAGCTGGAAAAGAGAGGAAGCAAGGCTGAATGCTGAAGGAAGCTACTGCTCAGCTCAGAGCTAAATTACTGCTTGCAGACATTTTGCCTGCCTTGCAGCAGCCTCCTACTTCTCCCCATCAGGCTTTGGCAGTCACAGGAAAAAGCATTTGAGCCAACACTGCTTAAGCCACTGTTCTCAATCTCCTTTAGTGTGGAAAAACAAATAAATCTGTGACTGAATAGAAACAGTGGATGCCAGCCTAGAAATGCCTGCACAGCACAGCTTAGAAAAATAAGGGCCCTTTAAGTTGTATGAGAAATTTTTCTTTTGCTATTCCCTTTTAACTATTAAAATAAATCCCTTGCATTGTACCTATTTATTACCATTTGCTCTAAGAGTAGTTACCCATTTATCATTGAAAGGTGTGCTTTGTAAGTGATCCTTCCAATGCATGCATGCGTTTTAAGTTCCTGTTGATGGGGCATGAAGAATGTTGCATGCATGCTCTGTCTCTCCTGTCTCTTGTTCAGCTGTTTGATGAAGAGAATCCACTGCATAAATCTGGAAATAAGTATATGTTTACTACTGAGGGACACATTGTGTCTGTGGATGAACGTTTTCGTAACTCACTGTGGCAAGACATCCTCCCTGGTGATGAGGACAGCACAGAGAAAATTAAACCTAACGAGTTAAAGGCTGGCAACTTCAGCTCTAATGTAAGTAAAATGCAGAGTGCTCCCAGTTGTGCTGCTGGAGAAGGGATGCATGTTGAAGTGAGTTAGGCAATAGAAAGTGTTACTTCAGAGCTCTGCGGTATTTCCTTTATAAATGTCAAATATCTGAGAAGCTCCCTTGTGAAAACCACTTTCAGCAGTGGAAGGAATGGATGAGGATAGTGTGAGGGTGATTATGTTGAAGGTGAAACCTTTCTCCTCTCTAAGTATTTTGTAGCGATTAGTTTGTTAATTTATTTCCAGTAATTTTTCCCTTCCATTTTTCTTTGACCTTAAAATCTTCCCAAGTTGCTGTGATGGGCAGAGAAAAGTAGAGGGTCATTTAAACAGGACTATTTTTTTTTTTCCTCAGAATGGTTTGATTTTGAGGCACGTAGGGGTGACCTTTCTTGGCCAAGCATCAACTGAGCGCAGAGCTGTGGAGCCAGTGCCTGTGACCAACTCAAATAGATGCTTTTTCTACACAGAACAGTTTTTTTAAATCTCTGCTGGTAGGCTCTAGCGTGGTTCGTTTCCTCCTCCCCCCAGTCCTGCAGAAAAAGAGCATTATTTTAAAAAGCATTCACAGTTGTCATAGTGAAGGAAGTCTCAGTTGAACAACAAGCTGCAGTAGTTTGCTGTGTGTTTGGAGCTTGCAGCCTGGGCTGAGGAAACACTTGCTGCTCATTTGAGTGGTTTGTGCTGTAAGTTTGCAGTGAGGGAGGGACTGCTGGGTACAGCTTTCTGTACTGGGAGGAAATCTGTGGTTACGGATGCTGAAACACCTGTGAGATGGCAGAGGGTATGGCACTGCCTGGGGTTGTGTCTGAGGTCTTAGAAATCTTCTCATTTTGTTAACAGTGCAACCGAGTTCCTGATGAGAGGAGGTACTTGCTGCCACTGAAGAGTAACTACATGAGACAGATCGATCGAATGGTGGGCTTGATCTGAATGGTTCTTCAGAGTAACTTGTATGTCAGGAGGAGCATGGGATCTGGCTGTAGACATTCCTCTCCTCTTCAGCTACACACCTGCACATGCTGATTCACTTGGGTATCCCCCATGCTTGTTGGTTTTCAGTTATGGACATGAAGGGAGATCAGGTTGTCCTCCAAGTTCTGTCTTCCAGGCTGTGGTTTCTCCATGTGCCACCTGAATAGAGATTGTTTTCTTTCAAGACCTCCTATGAAAAATGTTGTTGCAAATGAAGGCTGAGTATACTTCAGAAAAAAAGAAAATCAAATGGGCATGTGCCACTTAGCTACCTCTTTGTAGCTGTATTACAAATGTCCCTTTAGAAAAGGGTCTAGTATTTAATTTGAAATGATCTTGGGATTTGGGAAGGAATGGGAAAGTGCAATTTCTTACACCAGGTTTAATCATTGAATTATTCTGACTAGCAATACAGAACCTTAAGTTCGACTCAGGTAGGAACCCACTGGTAATGGGTTTTGCTGACACAAAATCTGTGTATCTAGAACAGTATCTTGTAAAGGTAAGATAACTGATCATACAAGAAGCTCTCAGTATAGTCAAGACACCCCTCATATACACAGCTGTATAGAACTGCATGGTTGCAAGAGCCTGTGGGTACAAAACCAATAATAAAACAAATATGTGCCTTTTTTTTGTAGGGAGATGGGGGGAGGGAGAGAAGGGGAAATTGCAAAGCCACTCAGCTTTCCAAACAGCTAACTTTATGCAGCTTAGCTGAGCAGGAGTTCCAAAAGCTCCATTGTTTGCCATGTACCTAGTGCCTTTTCAGGAGAGATGCTGCTAAGAACTGGTATAACAGTACATGAAGAACAAACTTATTTCACATTCCTGACAGCATTAATGTGTTAGTGCCTTAAGCTTTCTTCACTAGCAGGAAAAACTCAGCTTGCTTGGGAAAGTCAAGAAAGTATTTCTGATCAGCTAGTTCCAAAATCCAGTGGATCCCAAAGTAATTTAAATGTAACTTACATATGAGATAGCCTTTTTTTTTTTTTTTTTTTTAAACAAACAAAAAATCACACAAAAAGATACTGGAAGAATATCAGCTGCTGTGCCCTTCCCAAAGAAGCCTGATGGGCTGGATTTATTCTCAGTGTCAGTAATGGGGCTGGTGCCTCTGCACCAGACTGGGGATGGAGTCAGTGAGAGGTCTGAGCCAGGAGCCAGTTGGTGCTGACTGCAGGGCTGTGCTGTACATTGACTGCTCCTCCTGCTTCCAGTGAGGAATGGTGGGAAAATGCTGTTGCTTCATCCCACCATCTTGAAATGCAGCTCAGATACATTTGAGGAGTAACTGTCTATGACCTTTAAGGGAGTAAGCAGTTACATTCAGGCAGGGCTGTTGAGGGATGGAAACAAACTGAGGCCAAAACAACTTGCTCTAAATAGAACAGGTTGTGGTTTGTTTTTTTCAGTGGCTCCCCATTGCTCACAGGCTTTTTACTTTCGACTAGAATTGAAGTAGTTGAATGTTACTGTTAGGTTAATTATTTTTAAATTAAGGCTTAAATATAAGGGCAAACTTGATCTGCTGTATTTTCTCCTTTTTATAACTGCATTGGTTTTCATAAACCACATGTTGCAACGCAAAACATTTCTAATAAATATGAAGTTAGTGCTGAAGAGGTTATTGTTTGGATCTTTAAGCATACAGATGCATCTCAGGGACTTCATTGTAGAATCTTCTATTCCATGGTGGGTGGATCTTGTATTCAGGCAAAAAAAAATATCTGAGTTTTATTGTGTATGTTTTACGAGGGGGAGGGGGAGATATGTTAAGATTTCCCAAACCATGGCAATAGAATCTGTTGCCTTGATATTCAGGCAGCTGGCAATTCCAGCCCCTGTAGAATTGGCTTTGCAAATCTATTACTGGAATGTCTTTGTTGTCTGTTCCAAAGCAAAACATAAATTGAAGGTGTAACAATCCAAAGAGGTATTGGGAGAGGTCCAAGGTACAGCTTCTTAACCAGTGGGTGTTGCCTGGGCATGCAGCTGTGCTTCAATCTGTAACCACGTACAGAAGGGCAGGAGGATGTGCTAGGGGAGAGCTGTCTGTCAGCTGAGGGAGGCAGAAAGCAAAGATGTCTGAGCTTGGTGAAATGCTGCATCTGGGCCAGAGCTGCTGATTGCAGCTCTGTAGTGAGAGATGCTGGGCAGCAGGGAAGGGAGAAGCCAAGCTCCACATTCCACAGCACAGCCTGTGCCAGGGTGTCCTTGCCCTGGGTGTACTGGTGGCTGCTTCTGGTAGGAGCTTTTCCCTGGCTGGCAGTTTGGGTCTCTGGACGTGCATTATATACCTTGCAATTGCCTCAGTGTTTTGTGCCTTCTGAAGCACCTGAACCCAGTGTTATGCACAGAAATCTGTTCCAGGGTATTCCTCAGAGAGCCACACGACTATAATGAAGTTGCACAACGGTTCTGCCACCGTGTGTTTTTCCCTCTGGTGTATGGCCAGAAGCAGAGTGAGAGGGAGCTGCAGAATGGGAACAGTGTGGGCAGGTATTGCAGCCCTCAGTGACTTGGACCCTTAATGACAGTGCCAAATACTGTATGGTCAGCTTCTTGTTAGCAGCAGCATTGGAATTTGTGTTGGTAAGGTGATATGACAGGCATCTGTCTGTAGGAATGGGTTTTATCTACCTAGAGACTGATGCTGGCTGTGTGGCAGAAGGCTTTGTGTTCTTGAAGGAGCCAATTTTTCTTCCTCTTTGTTTTAAAAATGCTTTGATACATTTTTATTCTGTAATGACAGGGCAGATGTTATGCACTAAACTGAAAACTTTTGTATTAGTCAATGATATCAAGATGAAATTGATAACACTGCTGGAATAACTTGCTGAAACAGACTTTTGTATTTCTTGGTATAATGTGCAATATCCATTTTTCCTAATTAAAAATGCTTAATTGTTGTTTTTCCATGAAGTATTTAATTGCTGATGGGAAATTTTTAAGAGGACCAAATGCTCTTTCATGAAATGTCCTAAATTTTCAAAACTGAGCTTAAACTTAATCTGCATTAAAAAATTGTGTATTTGACCACTTTTATGTGTGTTTTTCTTTGAGTGTAGTTCTTGTGAGGCCATCATGAAACTTACTGGTGATCTCCAAAATGCAGGGAAAAGGTGAATTTGAGTGTGTGTACCTAATCCTTGCCATTCACCAGGCAGGAAAACTTGAGCAGTTGAGGGTTGACCTGAGAGTAGGGGTGAGTAGAGGAAATCACACCTAAAGGCTGTTCTGTGCAAGCAGATTGGTGGATCTGACTCAGGTTCTCCATGACCTGTCCCATCTGAGGAGCTCAAGACCTCAGACTTCAGTAAGAAGAGTCCCCAGTCAGCTTTGATCAAATGAGATCTATGAGATGTCACCTTATGTGTGCTGGGTTTCCATCTAATTAGAAGGGGTGGCTGCTTATGCCCTGAAAACAACAAGAACACCTCACCTCCAAAACAAAAAGCCTCTTTCTTCTCCCCACGTTCCCCTTTCATTTCCCCTGCATGATGGTTGGAGGGGCAGCCTGCACTGAAGGCAGTGACTTGGTGTGCAAGGAAGAAGTGAAACGTGGCAGCATCCACCTGTTGGCCTCGTGAGCAGGTAGTTGAGTCTGAGTAAGTACTGACCTACCTCTGGTGTTCCCTAATTCCACTTTCTCCAAGCTGGTCTATAAAGAACCTATTGCAGGTGGGAATTCTGCACTGAGAACCTGGCTGGGCTCTGTCCAGTCTGAACACTGGGAAATCACACATGCTGTGTTTAAAACAGGAGTAAGGAAACAAGCTGTCTGACCAGCACTTTGATTTTCTCTTTTTTTTTTTCTTTTTTTTCTGTGACTGACATTATCCCTTCTGTTTTCTGTTTCATAGTCCTGATTTAAAGGCAGTTGGAGCCAACAGGGCACTTGCTGTTGTCTGCCTCGATCAAACTCCCCAGTGACAAGGAAAGGTTGAATGTTAGTTAGTGGATTTTTTGCAATGGTTTTCAAATTCCTCTGAACTTTTGGATGAGGTTTTTGCCCACCTCATGCTACTTCTGCTGGGTTCAGACTGCTCTGTCAATTCTGAAGTAAGCATGAGTGGGCTGAAACCCTGATTGTTGGGGAAGGAACCCGAGCTCTGATGTTTTCACTCTGGTTGCACATTTACTCGTGGGGTCACTGCCCTGAGCAACCTTTTGCTGCCTGTGCTTATCTTGCCTTGCTTCCTTAATTGCCTTCCAGCTCTGAAGGGGGACTGAGTGTTTCCACTGTACCTTCTCTTCAGTTCACATCTAAGAAAACACCTCAGAAAAGCTGCTCTTCCCATTCTCAGTTTTCTGGCAGATTTGGGTGTGGTAAGGTGGGATGTGATTGGAGAACTCACTTTTTAGGGTATAGTGCATCAGGCTGACCCAGTATTGCAGCTCCAAAGAAGGGACTGCTGGCAGCTGGGGGTGAAGGTCTTTGCCTTGGGTGCGTTTGGTGGGAGAGCTGTAGATCCGATCAGCTTCCACCAGAGCCCACTCTTGTGCCGCTGCTGGAAGATCTCTGGCCGCTGAGCTGCAGCGAGGCAGCAGGCAATGTCCGGGTGGAGCGCTGGAAGGTGTGGGTGTAGAGCTGTGGAGCTGCAGGGGGTTGGAGGTGAGTGGGGAAGGCAGCAATGGGTTGTGCTGCCAGCCCCTTCCCAGCCACGGAGTGTGTTTTCCACACTCTTCTACTGCCTAGAGACGTTTATCTTTGTCCTTGCTGAAAACCTTGTAGGGAGAAATTCTGTTTTGGTGATCACCACTGCTGTCATTTATGAGGGATCAATAGGTGTTCCCTGAAAGCTGCCTTGTATGTCCCCCACTTTCCTGAGAAGGGTGTTTGATTGGAGAGATGATACTGAAATGCATCCTCTTTTCTTTCCTGCCAAGATAATGGAATTTCTGTTGCCTTTAAATGTTGTGTGGCTACAGAAGGTGACAGCTTGGGAGAGCTGCTCTAGCCCCATTGGCACAACTTGGCACTCCAGGGATGAGAGTTGGTTGCTCCCTTATTCCAGGAGGAGACAGCAGGTTTGTTGCTTAAAACAGTAACTCTGTGGAGTTCTGTAAAGTCATTTTTTATTTAGGTTGTGCTAATGGGGGTGAAAAAGGTCCCAGCCCATAACTGGTTGAGATGCTCTGGCTTCCTGTGAGCTGCACAAGTCACTAGGGGATGGACCCAGGGTAGGAGCTGCCATGGGGCTGGGTGAACTGGGAGAACTGGGA